AGGTTATCCTTCTTTTTTCACTCCCATTTGTGAAGAAGGTATTCAGTCCTGACGCAAACATCTTGGTCGAACGCCTTTCTGAAATCCGCGGGATCGTCTTTTTTAGCAGTAGGCTCAGATACCGGGGCAACAATGCGAGTGACAGGACCTCGACACAAGACGGGCTCGAGGAATAGCATATGAAGGAAGCCTTATAACAACTCGCAAGTAAAATGAACCCAAAAAGACAAAAAGGGGGAGGCGGGGACGACAGGCTCTGTTACCTCTTGCAGTTTAGGGCCCTCCACAAAGACTCGATGTTGGCCATCCTGACCTTCCTGAACGACGACGCGTGCAACGTCCGGGATGCCCTTCACAACCACCGTTTCAAGGAGAATAGCAAGGGTTTCCAACTTGTTAAGGTCCACGGGGTACACGTTGACATAAGTTTCTGAATAGGTGACTCGCTGAAGACAAAATGGTAGATGTAAAACTTCGTGACTAGAGCATTCTAAACAGCAGAAAGTTGGCAATATGTGCGCAGTAGGTCGCAATGAAGGAGGCTTGGTTACAAGTTACTATTTGTTTACGCGTGTATGTGTGTAGAATAACTTGGTCCCAGATGGCGTCTTAAATGTCCTCCGGCGAGGATTACAACCTGTAGAACTGAAGGAAGGAAGCTTTCGATAATCATAACTCAGACACTCACTTCATTCTCGCCAAAGGCGCTCGTCGTCGTTGCTGTTATTGTTAATACGAAACGCTCCCAATATCATAGAAAGAGGGTTCGAGAGACTTTAAACAGCTTCAGCCTCAGTTCACCAGGACGCAAAAGTTGGGAGGGCTGTCACAAACCTGGAAGAGCCACGGGCGGTTACGAAATGCGAACGGGGTTGTCTGAGGTCTTGAGGCCGAATAATCTAGACTGCGTGGGTCGCACAATCAAACACATGTCAGAAAAAACACCTGGAACAACATAAAAGCGTGCATCGTCGGCACTTTCTGGTCAGACAAACCGAAAACAAACCGGCAGATAGGTCAGAGACAGTGAGAACTGACGGAAGGCTAGGGTCACAGCACAAGACAG